CATGTGACCTGACATGCACATGACAGACCACCCCCAGTGAAAACTGTGTAGGATCAGGTAGGTTCCAGTCAGACGAGATCAGATACCCTGTAGATATCTGACATGATTAGATGTGACCCAGCTGCATTCAATTCTTTACATGAGGAGGCAGGTTTCATACATTGTGATTGTCTGATCATGGAACATCTGCTGGCAAGCCAAGCTGGGATAGTGCTGGGACTAGATGATGCATATACAGACCCCAGATGACCCAAGCATTCAATTCTGCCAAGTAAGAACATAATTTGATCTTTTGACACACCTGAGAAGCCTGAGCAAATGGTATATCTTGTGAGAATGAGCATGACTTGTTCAGCATGTTGATTTGCTGCTGACAACTTGATCCAGCTGGCATTGGGCTCAGTGGAGTGTCAAAAATACTGGGGATATTCTGAAATGTTGATTGAGATGCAGAGAATGACAGATCCTTGTTTGTTGTGAGTGGCATGTGAAGGAAGGAGATGGGGGGAAGTATGGAAGGGATGATAGCAGTTATGCCTGTGTGACCCTGCTCCTACTTATGCTGTAGCAGAACTAAGTCTAACTCCTACATGGACTTACCTCTAGCTGCCAAGTGCTTCTTTGACATACCAGACAACATTGACCTTGACAATGCTGTACTCAGTGATCCCAGCCTTACTGAGAGCAGCACTAGCCCTCATTTAACTGCATCTGATGATCAGCTACTCAGCCCTGAATATTGGCACTCCCACCCTTATCAACACAAGCAGCTCATACAATGTTTGCTTCCTTACTAACTCCCTGGGGCCCTTTCCAATATCAATTGGGCAGATAAAGTGTGAGTGTCCCAGTTTCAATTTTATTCCTTGTTAACTTGTGGGCCCAGCTTTGATACTGAGTGTGACACTCCTCCTCAAGCCAATACCCCATGTCCAACTTGATGTCAATTGATACCTTGTCTACCTTCACAGCACTCCTCACTGACTAAGTACCCAGCATATTGTGAAGTGTGGCATCCTTCTCCTGGCTCTACTACCAAGCCTGAGTCTGGTGATGTTCCACTGCATATGCAAACTCCATGTCCTCTTCTTCCAGATCAGCATCCATCTCCTGGCTCTACAACTGAGCCCAAGTCTGAGGCTGCAACAGTTCCACTGCATACACAAATTCCCTGCCTGCTCCTTCCAGCTCAGCATCCTTCTCCTGGCTCTATAACTGAGCCCAAGTCCAACAATGTTCCACTGCATATGCAAACTCCATGTCCTCCTCTTCTGGCACAGTGTCCTTCTCCTGGCTCTACAACTGAGCCTGAGTCTGAGGCTCCAGTAGCTCCACTGCATGAACAAACCCCCTGTCCAGCTCTGTCTCCAACTAAGCCTGGCTCTGCCAATGTTTCAGCTTGATGTGCCCCTGTTTTCAAAAGTATCTTTGCTACTCCAAGTCCCCCACCTCCTGGCTCCCTTTATTGGAAGTACATCACACCAGAGGAAGGTGCAAAGTGGTATGATCATGCAGGTCAGGATAAGACATTTAATGTGATTCAGTGATGGAAGAAGGAGCTCGAGGACTTGCAATGACCATGAACTGTATTTTTACATGTCCAGAATACTTTGTTTGTTATCATGCTCATCAAGTGAATTGTCCAATGCAATCTAAGCATAAAACACAACATGAATGGTGAACTAATTAGTTACATGAAGTTGATCTCATAGTGGTTAAGTGTGCACTATGTCACTGGAACTCCATCATTCTCATGATCATCCTTGTTGTCATCCATATTGTGCTGAGTGCCTTCCCCTTCATAAGGGACACCAAATGTAGCAATATCTAGACCTGGCTGCTTGACCATAAAGTAGCAGTACCCTAATCCTGCAAATTGATGTGGAACCATCCATATGACACCAGTAATCAACTTGATGTCAATGATGCACACATCCTCCTCCTGATGTTAGCAAGCATGGATAGTGTGATAAGAGAGTTTGAGTAGGTTGGGGTCAGGGGAGGAAAACATCATGATCACAGCAATGTTTTTCCAAATCCAAGCAGACATGATATTTGGGTGTTCATTTTGAACAGTGAGGTGGGTGAAATACTGGACTTTGCCCACACATGTGGTAAAGATAATGTAATCAGGGGTGTTTTTTTGAAAATGTGGGATTATGCTAATTATGCCATGTTTCCTATCAAAATTTTCATTTGACAGAGTTCTGACCAAAAATGGATCCACTAGAGAGATGCTGCCTCTGAGTGATTCACACTGTACTGCTAGTGCAAGTTGCCTTATCATTTAGCTCTATTGACATCAGTACCTTAATACATGTCAGGGCATAAATACAAATGCAACTACACTGGCCTCACACAATGCATGGTGCTGCCTTCTTATTACTGCTCAATCCCTGCCTGCACATTCCCTTCCTGCTGCAACATTACCTGGGCACTTTGCCTGGATTATGATGGTGAATTTGGATGCTATATTAGCTGACACAGGTGAAATAAGATGTTCAGTATCAATAGAAGTATGGATATGATTGGGCCAGCTAACTGACAGCCTGGATGAAAACCAGGAGCTAATCCACCTTTGGGCCAGATCCCATCAAAGAGATCAGCCTGATTGCATATTTCAGTTGCTTCATGGAGGTCTGAACAAATTCCTTGGCCTGACCACACTAGTACTGAAATACATTGAGACCAAATGAGGGTGTGAAAAAACTTAGTAGCCAACCATCTATTATATGCCATTATATGTCATACTGCATCATACTCCATGGAGTCACAGTACAAATCAGATGCCTGGGACCAGATGAAAAGAGATGATGCTGATGGCAAGTGAAATATAGAACCATCAGATGTGGGGGAAAGGGAGGAAGAAATGTTTGAAGTGGAAGAGTTGGAGATCCTTGGGTGCTGACACCAGAAATGGAGGCAAGCAGGGAAGAAGAAGAAGCCTGCAGCCCTGTTATCCATATGGGAGGAGATGCAGGGATTGGACAGGAACAAGGAGTTGAGAGAGAGCAAAGTCCAGACCAAGTGTGAGGTATGCTCTAAAAGTTCTGATGTGGATGCTCACAATTCAAAGTACCCTTGTAGCTGATACAAGATTGGTTGAAAAAGCCCCTCCATTCAAAGAAGCCCTGCATGACCCTTAGATCCAGTTACAAATACTCTGTGCAGGCAGTGGTCTGTGGATTGTACCAAGTGCAAATACAGGAGAAGCTTGCAAAAATGAAAGTAGAGGAAGGTGATACTCATGGAACCAAGCAGATCCAACAGTATCAGAATGCATTGACAGCTTTTATTCAGGATGACCTGACCAAGGAACAATTGGCTGCAGCTGAAGATATAGCAGAAAAGTGGAATGGGTGGGAAGGCCCTGCACCAGAGACAAAAGCAAGGTGTGATTATATGGGGTCAACTTCCCAGTCTTCAACTTATTCTAGTCCCCAGGAATGCAGCCAAGTATGGGTACAAATATGTCCAAAACTTTGTGATGGAGATGTGGAGGTATTGCAGAATGTGCATAGTGTGTATGGCAGGGTGGAAAAATGAGGAGGGGACTACAGGCATGCATGTGAGTCCATCATATTCTCCTCTAGTCTAGGTGAGACTCATGCCATACTCATGCCATGAAAGTACATATGGACTTCAATTACAAAATCAAGGATGGGATCCCCTTCAATGATGTCCACACACTGGAAGGAAGCTTGCAAGATTACCTTGGGGAAACATTTGAGGAACCAGGAACACTGCCCAAGCATGATGGTGAGTCAAGTCCTGAAAATGCCCAGAAAAAGACAGCTGCCAGCAAATTTCTTGTGCTAAGTCAGCTCTGACTTAATGTGGTAATGATCACGTGCTCACTGTACTTGTTGCACTTCTTTTGCAAGCCCTTCAAATGATCCATGCATCTTAATCCAAGACCACCTTCACACTACTGTCTAAGGTGAGTTCTTCTTTCTTCTTCTTTCTTTTTATCAATTCATGTCGTGGAGAGGAACATTTGGCATGTTCCTCCACCAGGATTTGAGGGTTTTGGTGCCTATCTCAGTAAACTTGGTGTGCTCGTGGTACCAGTCACATGGACAAGACTCCATTTCATGGAGGCACTACCTTGCATAGCACAACTTGGGGCATTGAAGACTGTGTGTCTGGCATCTGTGCATGAAATCTTCATTGGGTGCAAGATTCTATATACTGTGTAGGTGTGTGATCCACTTGTTTTCTCATCTATCTCCCCCTTGACAGTCTCACAGATACCAGCAATGCTAGTGTTGTCGGAGGAACATTGGATGATGTGACTCCATGTTGTGGCTGGTACTCTGACTCAGTGCCAGGGTGTGCTTCAACAATTCTAATATAGCCATATTGCTTTATTTATCTCCTCCCCCCTTCAAATGCCTCTTATCTCCTGGGTATGTTTTTATTGACCCTGTAGTGGAATCTGTACTAAGATGCTACATATTTCAGTTCTTATTTCATTTATAGGATTGATATGCCTCAGGAATGCACTCAACAGGTCATGGCAGCAACCCAACCAGGTGATGGTGCACTCTATTATTTAACCTAATGTGGCTCATAACCAATGCATTCTCATTCAGGGAATTATGGTGCCTTTGACACACATGTTCTTGTGAAATATAATGACCACTGGATCACCTCTCCTAATGCTGACTTTGTTCCCAAACTGTTTCTCTTTGAGGGGAGGACAATCACACTCTGCTGTGACAGCCAATTTGGCCACATTGATTGTTTCCAGTGGCCTCAACTATATGCTGAGTGTTATATGTGGGCTGGATGTATCCCTCGACATGCAGTCTATTGGGATGACCTGACATGGTCTTGGATGTGGTGGAACATCAGGAATGTGCTGGAAGACTTCGCCTTGGAGAGAGGATCAGCATTCAGGGTTGGTAGGGTTCATCCAGACAAGTGGAAGCATCTGGAAATTGTGTATAAGCAACTAGAGGAGCAGGCAAAGAACTGGCCACCAAAGAACCCTGATGATGAGGGACCTCTCTGGGTGCACATATGGATTAGGCAATGTCAAAGGTCTCATGTGTCTGAAGGTATGATATCTCGTTGTCTGATATTTCAATAGTTGACAATTCCATAGCAACTCCCATTCACCTTCCATGATATGGTGGTCCTAGTCATGCTCTTCCAATGTCTTTGTCTGGATATTTATGCTATGGTAGACTCCCTTGAGATAAAAATTACCCCCCCTTCTGGCCCATTTTTTAATGCAAAACAGCATTGGATGGGTGCATTTACCACAGATCCTGATGTCTGTGAGCAACTCTTTGAAGCACACATCCCCATATGGCTAGTCTGGAAGCTGGAGTTAGTGCCAAAGGATATGAAGATACATTGTGAGGTCGACATTACATGCCTGGAGGGCATTATCACTACCCCAGATGAGTTTGAGGTCGGCCAAATGCTCAAGTGGAATGCTAGGTGGTATTACCCTGGCAATCCTATGCATGTCCACACCTGCAAAGCTCCAGTAGTGGGTCTTGAGCAATTTGTGGCACCTTGGCCAGACCCAATTCCCATGGTGTCAACTTCCACAACCTCTGGCTCAGTGGCCTTGAATACTGCAAGTTCCAGCATGCCTGGCTCTGCCTTGGGAGTTGTCAGAACAGATAGGACTAAACATTGCAGTGGTCCTTGTGGGTGTTTCATTACTGATTGAGATCTTTATGCTTACAACCATCTGCTCAGATAATTCTGCAGGTTTGAAGAAGGCCAAGACTTCCACTGCTCCAAACATTGACTTGCCACAGGATTTTGATGATCCTGCCTTCCCCACTCACATTTACTCATGGAACACCATGCTTACTGATGTCAACAAGGACCCCAAGAGAATTTGTGCTGGTGTGCCCAAAATCATGCATTTTTTCCCTCACCCCACACTATTTATGAGAGGCAAGTCCTCAGAGTGGAGGCAGAGGTACCTCTGGAATTGGTTGGTGGCCCAAGCAGGTTGGATCATGCAACTTGCTGCTTCAGATGCATCCCCCATCATTCCCCATTTGTGGTGTGATTATCTTAACACAATTCCTGACCACATTTTGATCAGTTTTCTGGGAACCAAATACATGAACCTGCTGATATCTTTGGGCCAGAGTTCATGAAGGTTCAGCATGATGTACTGAGTCATGTGCAGTTCCATGACATTACAATTGATCTTGCAGACCTCACTACCATTGACTCCATAACAAAGGGCAAGATTCTCTGGGACCTGTACGAGCACAATTTCCACTTTGAGCTGGTCGCCCTGGACTGTCTGCTGGTGCCCACCCTCTGGTCGAGTGTGGAATCTCAGCAGCTGGACCAAGTCTGTCAGGTAAATTTTTGCCTTGCACCTCAAAAGAATCCATTTACTAAATTTTTATGCAGATCTTCCTGGGAGATTTGGAGCTTACCATGTTTGCTGAACCCTTCCTGGTTAAGGATCAAGATCTGGCCTCACTAGAACCCCAAATGAAGCTGGAATATGTCAAGAGGTTCTGGATGTTGCTCACTTCATGGCCAGGGTCTCTGCCAGATTCGGGAACCTCACTTCCATCATCAGCCTCACCAGTGTGTTTGGGCAGTGGAAAAACAGCTTGCATTATTTTACATGCAGTCATTCTTTGATAACTTCAGTTGTTTGCCTATTGTCCTCCATCTTATTCTGAAAAATCCTTGCAGTATTTATGGCTTGGGCAATAACCACTTAATCCCATCATCATCTGCATTATCATCTGCATTGTCATCTGCACTTCCCCCCTGTCCCCCACAAGCATAATTATGTGGCTATGTAGTTGTAGTTACAGTAAAATCTGCATCATTTTCACCCCTTGTCTGTGTCATTGTTCTTGCCTATTGTGTATCAAAAGGTCAGCTTTCATCTATCACTGCCAGCTAACAAGGTGGAAAGATGGGCATCATACTCATCATGGATGCAATCAGGGAGAGTGGAGAACAGTAGATTATACTGTAGCTGTTGCAATTTTGGAAGAACAATGGATGAGACCAGTATGAAGATGTTGCAGGGAGCAGGGAGGAAGGATCCATATGCTTCTTGGGTTTGACAGGGGAGAGTAGGTATGGGTGGAAAGCCTTCAGTGTGTGGATAACCACAAGGATCTCAAGATCATAGACCTGGTAGTGCTGCTTGGCACCAACAAGTGACTGAGAGAGGTAGGAACAGGGGTGCCACTCCCCATCAGAGCCTTTCTGTGTGAGGACTGCTCCAGTCCTGAGCTTCGAAGCATCAGTGAAGAGTGTGAAGGGTTTCAAGAAGTCAGGGATAGTGAGGACTGGAGAAGAGCATAACAAAGTTTTAAGCCACTGGAAAGCAGCTTCGTACTCAGGGGTCCACTGGTATGACACCGCTTTTTTTGTTAGGTCATGGAGGGGTCATGCAATGCTTGAGAAGGAAGGGATGAACTTGTGATAGAAGTTGCAGAACCCAAGGAAACAACGAAGCCTGATAAGATTTCCAGGGGCTTCCCAAGTACTGATGGTGTTGGTCTTTGTAGGTGAAGTTTCGATACACCCCTTTCCTATTATCATTCCTAGGAATTCCACTTCCTTGGCCTCAAAACAACATTTGCTGATCTTGAGGCAGAGTTCTTCTTTGGCACAAATTTGCAGGAACTCCCAAATGCATTTCTGGAGTTCCTCCAGCGTCTGCCCATGAACAACAACATCATCCATATATCCAACCTGTTTTCCTCACTGAGACTCACCATTGGTTCAAACAACCCTCTAGGGGTAATGAAGGCTCCTTTCCATTCATCACCTTCCTTCACCCAGAGATTCGTAAATCCCCATTGAATGTCAAACTTAGCATAGTATTTAGATTCAACCAGTTCATCAAACAAGGCTTGAGTGTTTGGCAAGGGGTGAGCATCCTGAATGGTAAATGAGTTGAGGTAGCAGTAATCCTGGATTAGCTGCTTCTTCCCATCCTTCTTTGCAACAAAGAACACCAGTGCTGCTTGAGGTGAGGTTGAAGGTCAAATTTTTTTGCATGAGAGATTCTCCTTGAGGAACTTGTCTAAAACCTTAAGTTCATCAGGAGACATTGGATATACCACAGCCTTTCTAGGTTTGAAGTCATCTTTCAACCAGATTTCATGATCCAACCCAGGTCAATGTTTTGGGAACAGAATATTGTCTTCTGTGAACACCTTGGCAAACTCCTTGTACCATTCTGGAAGAACTACCTCTTCCTTCTTTGCTGCCAAGGTGGCTTTGAGTTCTGTGGATAAGGTAGTTTTATTAATAACCACTTCTGGGGGCAATCTGGAAGATTCCTTCATATTGCCTGTGTCTGAAGACACCACCTGTGAAACATTAGTCTTTTTGTTAGAATAGATGAACCCATTGTCCCAGCACATGATCTTTCCTGTTTCCCAGTTCATTCTTGGTTCAAACTCCTTGAGGAAAGGCATCCCGAGGAGGATGTGTTCTTTTCCAATGAGGGGCCCAATGTAACACTTGACTCAAATGATGCACTCTTTGATTTCCATTTTTAGGGTTACCTTGCAGGTGACCCATTCTTCATCTTTTCTGGTAAATGAAGTGGTCTTGAACTTCCTTTCCACACAGTAAGTCAGGATCTTGAGTTTCTGAACCATTTGTTCCAAGATGAGGGAAACCTCAGCACCTGAGTCAATACAAGCCCAAATTCCTGCCTTTTAATCCAGTAAAATGACCAATCCAAGAGGAGAACAGATTTGCATATTTGATTCATCATCTATAGAAGTACATTTAGTGGATAACACAGATATGGGACTGACTGTTGCAGGAGTTTCAGCAGTCCCACTTAAAAACCCAACAACTTCTTTTCCTCTGTGTTTGCTTCCTGGTCACCAACATAGGCAGTCTTAGTACCATCTTCTGTGACAATAATATGCATGTTGGAAAGTTGTTGCTTGATCTTGACTTTACAGTCATGTTTGATATGACCTTTGGCTCCACAGTTGAAGCACTTAATTTCTGAACCAGATCAGTGCATGTTCTGTTTACATTTGTCAATGTCCATCACATCTGGATCTCAGGAACCTCCATGGTAATGAATGAACTTCCTTTCATACTGAGATTCCTTCCCTTCTAGGATATGCTTCATAGCAATCACCATGTGGGCTTCCCTGGCACACTGGATCCACTTGATCACCATAGTTGGTGCTCATCTGGAGTTTAAGATCCAGTCACAATACTCCTTCTGCAACCCTTTTCTGAAGAAGATCCCTTCTTCATGCGATTCTTCTTTCAACTGTGCCTTATTGACTAGGCCAGTGAATTCCATGATATACAACTCAAGTTCTTGTTTGCCCTGAGAGATGTCCAAAAGGCAAAGGATTGTGAGCACAGTCTGATCACCAGACTCAAAGGTGGCCTTGAGTCCTTCTATGAACCTTTGAAAGGTATCTGTGTAGTAGATACTTCTGTCAAGTAACTTGTTTTCATTTTGATAGTTCTTGGAAAAGGAGACCACCATGCCTTTGGTCATATATGTGAGCATGAATGAGATCTTGAGCAATTCTGTGTTGTAAACATGTCAGTTGAGGTTCAGATACCCTTCAACCTGTGTGATCCAAGTTTGAAGCCCATTGTGGCTTCCATCATATTCACCAGGTTGCCTGACATTAAACTCCTGACCTCCATTGGGTGGGTGGCTTGAGTAGTCATCATCTTCATTGGCTTTGGCTTTTCCCTTACTGTTGCCACCAGCAGGCAACTCTGGGGGTATGACCTTTCTGAAGTTCCTGTGATACCAGTCTCATAAAGCCAAGTCCATAGGCATACCTTGAGGAAATGGGTCACTTGTGGTTGTGTGCATAGCCCAGTGGACCTCATCTGCCATAGTGACTCTTTGTTCCTCCAACTTCTGTCTCACTTCCTCCTCTGAGAATGATCTCAGTGGCATTTCCAGGACAGATTCTCTGTGACTGACTGTTGTAGGAAGTGGGATTTAAGAGTGTGAAGACTGGGTGATGGATTATCTGAGGGGATGAGTAAGCCAAAGGGGCTTCTATAACCTGGGACTGGATCCTTGTAGTCATCTGAAGGCTTCTATGGCTGTCTTGGTGCAGGGAACAACCTGCTTGAGCTTGTCTCTTGTCTTAGGGTAACTTGTCTATTGTTATTAAGGAAAAACCTATACACAAGTAGTACTACTGCTGACTAAGCATCCAAAAATGCGAAATCTAAGTACAACTCATAGAAAAAGGTGTCTAGAATGAAAACCAAGTAAAACAAGCCAAATAAAACAATTCCCCTGATAGTGAAATTGCACTCCCTACACTGTCATGGACATACTTTCTTTCATGGCTTCTTGTTCTTCTTTGAGGACTGATCCAAAAGAAGTCTCAGACTTCTGATTGTCTTCTTCTGAACTGAGCACAACTTCTGAATCCCTAAACCAGGATAAATAAAACAAGTGGGGATTTGTAGCAGTAACCAAGGGTCCTAGTCTTCCAAGCAGGATGGGCAGCAAAGGGGGATTCCTGCCAAGCCCAAGAGGGTTAGAACAAGGAGGGACTGGGGGCCTTGCTTTCTGCAGGTTAGACACTTTTACAGATAGTGTGAATGAAGGCTGAGGGAGGATTTATTTCTCAAAAGAAACCTGTCAGTGTAATTGGGGATAAGGATCTGAGTGACTTTACATGTAGGGAGGCACAAGGACAAGCTCCAGGGAGGTGATCTATTAAATCCTAGTGGCTGCCTGTAGAGTGATGAATTTGATTAAGGGTAGAGGGGTGCTTCTCAATCTTGTTCAAAGAAGCAGGATAAAGATGGGATAGCTTTGTTGAAGTTCAGTAAACTGAGGGATGAGTAGACTTTCATGAAGAGGTTGATGAGTCCTGAAAAAGCTGCACACAGGTTTTTGATTTTGTTATGCCTGAGTGGAGTGACTTTGTCAAATGGACTAGGCATGATCCATGTGAGGGGAATACTCTAGGCTGAACTTATCATAACCCCTATGGCTCAGTTATTGCAAAGGTCCAGCAGAGGTTCACTCCTTCTGGTGAGTTCATTTGGGATCACATGGAGGAAGGAACAGGGACAAGAGTGAAGGGATGAAGCTGAGTTGCAAGTAATCAAAAAACTGAGGATACAGGACAGAGTACTCAAGACTATATACCTGTAGCTGAGAGTACTGTACCAGTTGCAATGCATATCTGCAGTAATCAATGAACAAATCAGTCAAATACATAAGTCAGGATGAATCATATGGTGTCATATGATGGGGGCAGGCAAGGAGGTGAGGGCTATACTGGCTGTGCAATCAATGTGCAGTGAGGGGCCTGACACCAGAACAAGAAACTAACATATAAGCAACATAAATGAGTCAAAGAAAGAGAAGGGAACATGTCATCCATCAGAGAGGGCAGTGGAACACTGGATCTTTAAAGGTGGCACATTTGACAGGTATTGGAAATACCTTGACAGTGGGAGATCTGAGTCCTCTGCATTACATATGAACCCCTAGGATGGTGATGATTATGAGGGACATGATGAGACACATGACACATGTGACTGCAAGGAGCCAAAAAAGGAAGGACCCCTGACATGGGCATAACAGCTATAGGATACCTCCTCATGCAGGGGGGGGAAGATGAAAAATGCTACCCTGCAAGGTTCAGCTCAATAACTCTCAATGACCATGAATGCCATTACAGCCAAGCCAAACTGGAGCTCTTTGGTCTTTTCCACACTTTACATGACATCAGACTTCACATTTTCAGCATGTGGAATTTAGTTGTCAAGGTTGACACATGATATATAAAGGGGATGATTAACAATCCTGACTTACAGCCCAATGCTACCATCAACCACTGGATTGCAGGAATTCTTTTATTTGAGTTTGAGCTTGTACATGTCCCTGCACACAAGCATGTGGCACTGGATGGTCTTTCAAGGAGACCAAAAGCAGAAGAAGATGAGGATGGGGAAGAGGACTATGAGGACTGGATAGATGAGTATGGAGCCTTCGCTGTCAAGCTCTTGAACCGTAGGGAGGCCTGATTCAAGTCTCAGCCTTACCCTTCAGAAATTCCAAGTACCTTGTCAGACTCACCTTTGGTCTTGTCACAGAGTCTAGGCATCTATTCCTCCAAACAAACCTTGCCAAGTGTCTATGAGATGGAAATTCTGTGCTTGGAGAAAGTGATCCAGAGAGAGGAGAGGTTGAAAGTGGTGAAGGAATTTTTGCAGATGAAGAAGATGCCAGAAGGATTGGAGGAAGGGGAGTTGGAAAGCCTGGTGCATCTTGCCACTTGGTATATCATCAAAGGAGAGCTGTGGAGAAAAGACCCTCAAGGACATCACCAACTAGTAGTTGCCCCTCACAAATGACTCAGGATCCTTCATCAGGCTCATGACAAGCTAGGACACAAGGGTATCTACTCGACCTGCATGCATTTGCTGACTCATTTCTGGTGGCCTATGCTAGAGCAGGATGTCTGCTGGTATGTCAAGTCATGTCATGAGTGCCAAATATGCTGTTTGGATCATGTACATATTCTGCCAGTCATCACCATCCCCAAGCCCCTATTCTTTAAAGCATATATGGACATGTTCTTAACACCAAAGTCAAATGGATTTTGCTATGTCACCCAAGCTTGCTGTTCACTCACTAGTTATCCAGAGTGGGCTATGCTTCACACAAAAACTGGCAAGACCATCAGAAAATTCATCTTCAAGCAGATCTTGTGCTGCTGGGGTGCTGTTGCAGAAATCATCACAGATAATGGTGGCCCCTATGTCCTCACCCTTGATTGGCTCTCCAAGACCTTCAGAATTTGCCATATACAAATCTCACCTTATAACTCACAAGCTGATGGAGTTGTTGAGCATTGGCATTTCAATGTGAGGGAGGCATTGGTAAAGAGTTGCAGTGGAGAAGCATCAAAGTAGTTAGAAGTGGCTCCTACAGTGTTCTGTGCAGAGAGGGTTATGATTCACAAGGAAACTGGGTTTTCTCTGTTCTATATGGCTCATGGCGTCAAACCTAGACTCCCCTTTGACATTGCTGAGGCGACATTCTTAGCCCCTTTCAAGGCAGAATTTTACTCAATGACAGAACTCATCGCCCATTGTGCTTGACAACTCCAGAAATGTTCAGAAGACCTTGCTCACATCCATGATCTCATTCTGAAGTCTCGCTTTGCATTGGTCAAAGACTTTGTTGCTCATTTTGTGCACACCATCCAAGACTTTGACTTCAAACCTGGGTCACTCATCTGCATGTGGCATTCACATATCAAGTGAGAACTAGATTGCAAGACCAAACCATGCTACCTAGGCCCCATGATCATTGTTTGGCAAACCAAAGGAGGCTCATACATCCTGGTGGAATTAGATGGTGCCATGTCCAAATTCCATTTTGCCACCTTCTGTCTTTACCCCTATTTCCTGCAGAACAACTCTCATATTGAAGTCACACAGCTGACTGGAATTTCTGCATGACATAGATTGCTTGGAAGATGATTTGCTACCAGACCCTGCACTTGCTGGCATCCCTTTGAACAAATCAGATGAGTAGCACACCTTTCTCTCTATCTTTTTCTTTCCTTCCTTTCCTCTCTTTCTCTGCTTTCCCTTTTGCTTATATATTTACCCTCTTCATCTCATATGAAACAAAGCCATCTTCACAACTCACAAAAAAAAAAAAAGAAAAGAAATTCTGCTCATCTCTCATCTCTCATTGATTTGCTCTCTTTCCCTGCTCCCTTCTTAGCGATAATCCTGTTCAAAATACCAAAAGACTCACAAAATAAAATAAAACATATAAATTCTGCAATCTACTTACACTACTGTACATGTACGTACATATCTTTGAGCTGATCCTTCAACCTCTTCAGCTCCTCACATCGCCCCTGAACTGCGCTAATCTGTCACTCTACTCACGTTGCCAACAGTCCCAGCATCTGGTGGATCTGGGTCAACTCAAACTCCTCATCATCTGCCCTACCCTCCAACAGTTGGATGTGCTCAGCAAGAGCCTCGCACATAGTCGATTCACTCAGGTTTGTGACCAGTGGAGTTTCTTCAACTGGGGGACCTTCAGACTCATCCTGCATGCTGATGATGGGTGTGGGTGGATTGTCCAATAATCCTGTCAGTCTGCCAAAGAGTCCACCATCACTGAGGTCTCCTGGATTGTCTGTTGGTGGCAGAGTTGGCTCAGGGCAAGGTCAAGGTGCAGGGGTTGCTGATGGAAGGAAAAGAGGTGGTCAAGGTGCAGGAGGTGGAGGCATTTTTGAGGTTGAAGGGGGACTAGCACAAGGTGTTGGGTGCTCAGGAGATGGATCGGAATTTTGCCTGGGAGGTGGTTTGCAAGCAGGGATTTAAAGTTTCAACCTGGTCAACACTGGAGTTTCAGTCATTGCTGTTACTGTTACTGATTTGACCCATTTATGTGATGGCCCAGCAGCTGTCTCTCCACTTCCAGCATTCTTGCACTGAGTTACAGTTCAGTGCCCTCATTCTTCATGTTGTGGTCAGCGTGTACTCACCTTCCTACCCACTCTGAGTGACCAGCTGCACTTCCACTTGGCCTGTCTTCATTGCTCACATGACTCCCCAGGAAGACCTTTGCACTTGGCATCAACCTTTGTGCACTCCCTGCATGGCAGGTTGGCTTTGGGTGCCAGAGCAGCAGTTTTTGACAGGTCAGGGTTGGGTGGGCAGTTGCCTTCATTGTTCTCCAGCTCATCAACTTTGTCTGTGGCCTGCAGAGTTTTTCTGAATGTTAGCCATTGTGCTTGGAGTTTCCTGGAGGGTAGGATGTACCTTTTCCTTGCCCTTCCCCTTGCCTGTGCTATCCATCCATTGCCTCACTGGTCATCCAGTCCCCCTCAAAGACTCCCCTGCTTCAGTGTTGCTGGGCACACAGCCTTGATGTTCACCTATCACCATTGCTGCCTGTCTGTGTGTGTGCATAGAAGGTTCTCTTGTCAACCTCTCTGCCTCAAGCTGCACCCTCAACTCTACCCTCTCCTGGTAGTTGTTGAAGATGTCATTGATGTGGATCCATCTTTGCTCCACTGGGTGCCAGAGGTCAGCAATGGTGATGGCACCTGGGACTAAAAGGTTTTGGCACATCACAGATTCCTTGGTGTAGTCATGCATGCACTTGTTGTGAACCTTTGGTACAGTAATTCCATTGTTGTCGACATATTTCCACCATGAGCAAATGCTGGCCTGTGGAACTCTGTCAAACATGCAACACACTGCAGTGGAAGGTTTACTCACCCAAGTCTTGTCCCAGTCCTCCACCTATGCATAGATCATCTCCAATCTCTCCTCTGGCTGTGGTGCCACCTTGATCAGGTCCCAGACATGCCTGAGAGCTGCAGTGAGTGCCATGGTTGCCTGGTCCCTCATGCTGAACATGGGATATGCATCATTGACAGAGTAAGCTTGCATAGTAGTTGGTGAGGGTAGCAAGTATCTGAGAATGAGGTGGTGGAGTAACAAGGGTGAATCTGACAATGAGACAGTTTCTGGGTGAGTTTTTTTAATTCTGCAGGGTTGCTGCTGACACATCATCTGGGTGCAGAGTTTTTGCTCAAACAAGGCATGTGGCCAAACACAAGCCTTCTTCATTTATGTCACCTTCCACATCTCCACCACCCTTCTGTCATGACTCGATGACCTCTGACCAAGGATGGTCAGCATTTGAAGACCCTGGGAGGTGTAGGGAGTGGTATACTCCCTGAGGCCAAAATAGGGATGCTAACACCAAAATTCTGCTGTTACCAACCACACCTGTTGTCTTTGGAATTATTACATCTGCCTTGTGCATCTGCCTCATGCACTGCCTTGCCCATCAAACCTTCAGAGCTCCCCTGTCCATCAGTAACACACACCAGTCATCATCCCAGAATTCTGTGTCAACATCAACCTGAAATATGTCTATCCAGAATTCCACAGTTGTGTCACTTCAACCTTTGCCTCACCACATAGCTGGGAAACCATGTAGATCATCAGTAAAAACTCCAGTTACTCCCCTCATTCCTTTCCCATGAACCTTTCTCCACAATGCAAGAACCCCTTTTGCATCTACAGCCTCTACCCTTTGCATTCCACTCCATGGTACAGTGTACACTTGTCCTGTTGGAAGATATCCATCTTTCCTGTTGGTCTTTCTCAGTTACTACTTTACAGTTTGTTTTCACATGTTGCTGTATGGCCTTGACATCTGACACATTGCCCCCTTTGTTTTTCAGAATTTTGCTTTACCTGCCCCACAATTCTCCAATCAGTACCTTACTATCCATGTACTATATAATTCTACCTCAGTGACAAAAAAGAATCATATTTTTTAGGACTCACAATCCATGTCATATGTGGGTCTAAAGAGTTCAAAGAGTCTTGCATCAACTGTGTCTGCTTTGTATCTGTGTCCTTGCATCTACTGTGTCTTCTGCATCTTCATGTCCTTGTGTCTACTGTGTCCTCTGTGTCTTTGTGTCCTTGCATCTATTGTGTCTCATTTCCCCTCCCATGTGCTTAATTCATCTCAGAGTTACTTTGTTGGGTTGAGATTGTCACCTGGAATTTCAAAAGCAAGTCTATTCCTACCTCCAACTCTGCAGAATTAAATTCCATGCCCTACATTTGACTCTTTGACTGACTCTATCATTGCACTCTATGTCTCCTTCCTACTCAGCACCCCTTGGGTCAAGCCTAGGGATTTCCCCCTACAGCTTTCCCCTATTCAAATGCTACCCAGAGGTAGTGTCCCACAATGCTATTAAACAGCATTTCTGATGGGCCCATCTTTATGTTTCAACAGGGTACATCTTACTGGGGCTGGGCCCACCCATATGTTGTGACAATATAAATAATACTACTGAAGGGCCTGTCCATATGTTGTGATGCTATACATGAGATTACTGACAGGCCTGTCTTTATGTCTCATCAGAGGTACATCTTACTGTGGACAGGCCTGTCCATATGTTGCATAATACTACTGATGGGCCCAACCATATGTTGTGACTCTATTACATGATACTAGTGATGAGCCTGTCTAGATGTTGCCAACTTTGTATTCTAATGATAGATGGGCCTGTCCTTATGTTGTGACCCTCTCCATGTTATGATAGGCAGGCCTGCCTTGATGTTGCAACAGGGGTGTAACCTACCAGGATGGGCCCATCCATGTCTTACAGCAACTCAGTATACTTAATTGGTCATGGGCCCATCTAAATGTTTCAACATCCTTACCCACTGCAGGCCCTCCCATATGTTGTGGTAATGCACTTACAGGCCCATACATATGTTGCTCTCACTTTAGTCCCTCAGGCCTGTCCATGTGTACTGGCTAATCTATTCAGGTGGGCCTGTCTCAGGGTCTATATGAGTGTTGGTGTTTTGGCATGCAGGCTGCCCATGTGTTGTGACTAAATGTGACTACACTATGTGTTGGAAAGCACACTGGAATCACATTAGGGGGAAGCTGTGCATGTTGCATCTCAAAGAGATTGCTTCTAGGTCAAAGTGGGATGACAGAGAGGCAGCACTGATCTGATGCCAATATAGTACATCCAAAAGCAGACAGGGTGAGTCAGATGTCAACAGGGGTCAAGCTCTGGGAGTCTGTGGGGTGACAGGAGCATAAGGGATCACAACTTCCCCCCCCCCCAAACCATCCTCTCAGTGAAGCAAATAAAAACTTCATGAATGAGGCTCTGTTGGAAGAGAGGATGAAGGGGGAGCATCTTCTGCTGTATCTTGCAATAAGGAGGAAAGATGGGCATCATACTCATCATGGATGTGATCAGGGAGAGTGGAGAACAGTAGATTATACTGTAGCTGTTGCAATTTTGGAAGAATGATGGATGAGACTGGTATGAAGACATTGCAGGGAGCAGGGAGGAAGGATCCATATGCTTCTTGGACTGGAGAGACTGAACCAACCACATAAGTCCTTTCTAAGTGAGTCACAGACCTGAGACAACCAAAGAACATCCTCCTAGAGGTCATACTGACAAAAAGAACATGCTGTCCAAGCTGGATCAGCTGAGATGGGGTGGACAAGGATGGGATGTACCAGGATGCTTCAGGACAGAAGCTGGTAGGAACTCCTGGTAGATATACATAGCCATGGTTTCTAGCAAAGGGGACAAGCAAAATCTCTGATGTGGAGGCAGCCATATCAGAAGAATCAGCAAAATGAGCATCTTTTGGAGGGAGTGCTGTAGAAACATGTGAAGTGCACAGATCCTCTCCAATTTTGGAAGGTAGGATTGTGTGGCTGAGCACTACAAGCAAGTGTGGGAATGGTTTTGGTATCTGCAGAAATGGCAGAGATATGCTGAACACCAGAATGCCATACACAAGCACTCAACAATTTTAACTGGTGCCTAACTTGCTCCCTTTCTTTTTCTTTGGCATTGATGACTCATTCTTGTGTGAGGGATGACTGCCAACATTTCTGGCTGTCCTTCTTTGCATGAGGGCTATGGTCTTCATCTCCATTCATCAGCTGTATCCATGTCCACCTCACCAAACACCTTTGGTGTGTGACAATGGGGGTAAGGCATACCTTTGTGTAAGGGGAGGGATCATATCCAAGGATCAGGGAAACAGGGGTCATTTTATGAATGGAGCAATGTTGGGAGTTGTGGGCAAATTTGGCAGAGGGGAGTTTAGTGGCCTATGAGTTAGGGGCTTCTGTGCAATAGAGACATAAGACCCTTCCACTTCCTGGTATACTCATTTGCTTTCTGGGGATGATACCTGGAGGAGAGTTTTGTTTTGACTCCTATGGCCTCATAGAGTTCCTTAGTAAATGATGATGTGAACTGCAGTGTGCATTCTGAGATTACTGACTCAGGGACACCAAATCAGGAGTAAATGAACTTGTGAAATAGCCAGGTGATCCTGATGGAGTCAATTGTTTTGTGGCAGGGAATAAACATGGCTGCTTTCATGAGGCCCTGATCAACAACCATGAGAATGGAGTCAAACTTCTCTTCTCCCAACATGGGAAGGTCCATAATCAGGTCCATCAAGATCTGCTGAAAGGGAAAGAAGTTTTAGGGGTGGTGTGGGGAACAACTGGTGGTGTTGGCAGATGCATGACCACCTTTGTTGTCTGGCATGACAGGCATCCTGCAACATAAGCTTTCATATCTTTTCCCATACCTTCCCACCATACTTCTTTCCTCATCTTGGTGAACATTGCCTTTTGTCCAGGATGTCCTGTGGATTCATGATCATGATAAGAATGCATACAATTTTTTCTTTGATCCAGGGGAATATATAGCTGTGTTGTCCCAAACCATTTTGTTCCATCATCTGCAATGGTAACATTGTCTGAGGGTTCTGGACCATTCTGAGCCTTTGACATGTCATTCTTGACATGCTGTAGGAATAGGTAATAGAAGATACCTAGAAATAGTAATTATCAGTAAATGGGTGAGTATAGTGCTCAACCCAAAAGGGAGGTTCTCTCTGGAGAAAGAAGTGTAGTAAAAATGTAAAAATGCAAACTGAAATGAATACTTAGCTCTGCCTGTCTAATACCTCTTGCCAGTCCTCCTTGCCCTTTGGGTACTCCCCAAAGTAATAATTCTAACTTCAAAAACTCACCAAAATGCGAGACAAAATCACCCTACTACTGAGGGCCTGTGACATGGATTGGTTTTGGTAAACTGAACTTGCACAAACACTCCAGTGGTACAAACATGAACACAAAAGCAAGAAACAGAACACAAGTCCTCCAACCCCTATTTTCTTCTGACCAAGATGACTTCTTGTAGGGAATTCAAACTCATTCCCTACAGTGCTCAAACAAGTCTGCAGAGATTGCATAGATCCCTGACACTCCTTTTCAGATTCCCTCAAAGGGTGAGTGTCAGACAGCCTATCCTTCTTTGGTGTTACCTCAGATGGGTGAGAATATGGCTTGGACTTGTTGTTGATGCATTCCAGTTTGGCTGGGAGTTGTCCCACATGGACACTGTCACACACCAAAGGTGTTGTGGACATGGATACAGCTGACTCTGCCTAACTTGTTGACAAGTTGTGTGCCATGCCATGCAGATGAAGACTAAAGCCCTCATGCATAGAAAGACTGCTGGACATGAGCAGTCATCCTTCACACAAGAATGAGTCATCAGTGCTAAAGAGAGAAGAGGAAGCAAGTCAAGCACCCATCAAGGCTTTTAGCACTTGAGTACAGCATCCCAGTTTTCATCATATCTCCACCATTTCCAAAGATATCAACTCCATTCTCACACTTGCTTAAAGTGCTCAGCCACATGATTCTACCTTCCGAGTTTGGAAAGGATCCTAGCACCCTATGCATTTCTACAGCACTCCATCCATCAGACACTCATTTTGCAAAGTCTATCAGATATGGCTGCCTCTTCATCGATCATCTCACTTGTCTCTTTTGCCAGAGACAGTGGCTATGTATATCTGCCAGGTGTTCCCACCAGCTTCTGTCCTGAAGCCCCCTGGTTCATTCCATCATCATCAGCCCCATCCCATCCCATGCAGCTTGGTCAGCATGTTCTCCTTGTCAGTATGACTTCCAGAAGGACATTCTTTGGTTACCTCAGGTCTGTCACCCAGTTACAAAGGCCTTATGTGGTTGTTTCAGTCTCCCCACTTGATGAAGTATATGGATCCTTCCTCCCTGCTCCTTGCAATGTCTTTATTCCAATCTTTTCCATTGCTCTCCACACATTGTGACAGCTGCAGTATAATCTACTATTCTCCAGCCTCCCTGATCATATTCATGATGAGTATGACATGCATCTTGCCTTTTTACTGCAAGACCCAGCAGGAGATGTCCCCCCTTCTCCCTCTCCTCCATTGGAGCCCTGTTCATGAAGCTCTTATTAACTTTGCTGAGAGGATGAATGTGTGGGAGATGCAATCACCTATGCTCCCATTGCCCCACAGACCCCCAACACCCTAGCCCTTTGACACCTGACTCATGCCATCCTTTTCTGGAATTAATACTTCCCTATCTGGAAACACTGTCCATCTGTCATCCCATCTTTGGATCTGATGATGTCTCCACTGAGATCTGACATGCATTGCCACCCCCTAATGTGATACCAGTGTATTTACTCAGGTTCTGACTCATACTGTGATATTTTGACTGTCCTTGACTCATTTATTGTCAATACTTACCAATCCTCTTTGCTTGCTTACTTTTCATTTCTCAATTACTCATCATGATTACTCATTGCTTACAGTCCTTACTCATTACTTACCAAGTGTTTGTGCCTTGTTTGTCACAAGCTGCACTCCCCCCACAGTATATAATCCCCCTGTACTTAGCTACAAAAAGCAATCAAGGAAGAAGTCACTCAGGAATCAGTTCAGTTCATCTCAGTCCTAGCTTGTCATTGACAGTTGAGGCTCCATGAAGGGGTCTATCTGTCATCATTCACATCCTTGGTAATTGAGGCTCATTCAGAAGAGTCCATCTACCTCCATCCATCTGAAGCATCATTTGTGCTTAGTCAGCACATTTGATTAGTCATCCATCCACTCCTGCATAACTCATCATCAACTTGCACCAGGACTCCTTTCAGCTGAATACCTTCACCCTATGCAGCATCCCCATCAAGTCACCATTCATTCATCTACTCATGCATAACTTGACATCAACTTGCACTAGGAGCACATCCTATTGAAGTCCATTACCCCAGCCAGCATCCCTCTTGTGTTCTTCATCCATTCATTTACTCCTGCATAACTTGTCAATGACTTGTGCTAGGAGCATCTCTCCATTGAAACTCCCCCCATTTTAGATTTTTCTGCCCTCCAGGTTCCACAGAGGTAAACCACCACTCACTCTTTATTTGTCTTTGGTGTTGGATTTGTTTGGTTTACACCAGCTTTCCACACTTTGACTCACAATGTGATGGTTGATTTTGACTTGTTTTTGTATTTTTGTGAGTGAAAAAGTTGGCAAAATGAGGTGAATTGTGGGAGTCACCCCCCCTGAAAGCCAAAGGTTTGTGGGAAGAACTGTGGCAACAAGGTCCAGCTCCTTGGTGGTTCCCTTCAAGAGAGGGTGTCAGCCAGCACCTGCAGGTGGCCAGCCTGCCAGGAAAAGCAGATAGGATAGGATTGGATGGTGGAAGCCCAACAGGCCTGGCATGGGGTCAGTTGCTGTGGCTCCCAGTAGTACTCCAGGTTTTTGTGGTCAGTGAAGACCACCATTGGTTTGACTGGACTGAGAAGGTACAGGTGGAAGGTTTTGAGGGCATGAATTACAGTGAGCATTTCAAGGTTGTAGACCTGACAGCATTGTTCTGTGCCTACCAAGGACTGGGATAGATACAAACAGGGGTGCCACTCTCTGTCATCTCCTTTTTGTGCAAGAACTGCACTGGTTACAAGTTTCAAAGCATCAGTGAACAGGGCAAATGGCTTTGAGAAGTCAGGAATGGTGAGGACCAGAGATGAGCATAACAAAGGTTTAAGCTTTTCAAAAGCAGCATTTTGTTTGGGAGTCCACTGGTACAACACTCCTGTCTTCATGAGGTTGTGAAGAGGATGAGCAATGCTTGAGAACAAGGGTATGAATTTGCAGTAGAAATTGCAGAATCCAAGGAAATCTGCATAGTCCCATAAGATTGTCAGGGGCTTCCCAGGAAGAAATGATGTCAGTCTTTGTTGGTGAAGTTTCCATATGCCCTTTTCTGATAATCATTCCCAGAAACTCCACTTCTTTGGCTTCAAAGCAGCATTTGCCGATCTTGAGGCAAAGATCTTCATCTTGGCAAATCTTCAAGAACTCCCATACTCAGTGTTGCAATTCCTCAATGGTCTTCCCATGGATGACAACATCATCCATATATCCAACTTGCTTTCCTCATTGACATTCAAAAGTTTTATCCATATACCTCTGGAAAGAAGGGGGTGAGTTGCATTGTCCAAAGAACATTACTGTGGACTCAAAGAGGCATCTGGGTGTAATAAATGCTCCTTTCCACTCATCTCCTTCCTTGACATGGAGGTTAGTAAATCCCCATCAAATGTCAAACTTTGCATAATATTTTGATTTGACCAATTCATCAAACAGTGCTTGAGCATTAGGTAGAGGGTGTGCATCCTGGATGGTGAATGAATTGAGATATCAGTAGTCTTGGATTAATTGCTTCTTTCCATCCTTTTTGGTGACAAAGAATACCAGTGCTGCTTGTGGCAAAGTTGACAGGCAAATCTTTTTGCATTTAAGGTTTTTGTCTAGGAACTCATCTAGGACTTTTAGTTCATCAGGAGACATAGGATATACTGCTGCTTTCTTTGGTTTAAAATCCTCCTTAAGGCAAATTTCATGGTCAAGACCTGGACAATGTTTTGGGAGTGGTATATCATCTTCAGTGAAAACCTTGGCAAATTTCTTGTACCATTCAGGTAACTGAACCTCTTCTTTTGACAAGGCCAGGGTGGCCTCCAACTCTGTGGAAAGAGTAGTTTTGTTAATTTTTACCTCTTCTTCCTCTGGAATGAACCCATCATCCCAACATGTAATTTTCCCAGTTTCCCAGTTCATACATGGTTTGTATTCCTTGAGGAATGGCATTCCAAGGAGAATATGTTCCTTGCCCCATAGGGGGCCCACATAGCATCATACCTGGATTATTTGGTTCTTGATTTCCATCTTGAGGGTTACCTTGCAAGTTACCCATTCCTCATCCTTCCTGGTGAAGGATGTTGTCTTGAACTTCTGGTCAACTCAATAGGTCTTGATTCCTAGTTTGTCAACCATTCAATCAGAAATTAAAAATATCTCAGCACTGGAGTCAATGCACACCCATATTCCTGCATTGTAGTCCAGCAATATGACCAGTCTGAGTGGAGAACAGATTCACATAGAAAACTCGTCATCTATAGAGGTACAATTTAGCAGACAAAACAGATACAGGACTGACCATAGCAGGAATTTTGGTGGTCCTCTTTAAAAACCCAGCAACTTCTTTTCCTTGTCATTTGCCTCCCTATTGCCCAAATATGCAGTCTTGGTACTGTCTTCAGCAATTATGATACAAACATTGGTAAGTTGCTTCTTCTTGCAGTTGGATTTGTAGTGGCCAACTTCCTCACAATTATAACATTTAATTTTTGAAGCAGACCTTCGGACCTTCTTGTGCTTATCAATGTCCATTGTATTGGGATCTCAGGTATTTCTGTGGTAGGAAATGAACCTTCACTCATTAAGTGATTCTTTCCCTTCCAGGATGTTTCCTGGTGGTGATGGCTGCACAAGCTTCTCTGGTGACTTGGATCCATTTGGATACTGTAGTAGGTACCTGACTGGAATTCAGAATCCAGTCATGATACTCCTTGCCTAATCCTTTTCCAAAGAATATCCCTGCTTCACAAGGTGACTTGCATAGCTCCACTTTGTTGACCAATCCCATAAATTCAGCAATATACAATTCTAGTTTGTGGTTTCCTTGTTTGATACTTGATAGACACAGGATTGCCAATGCTGTTTGATCACCAGACTTGAATGTGGCCTTGAGATGTTCCATGAAGTGCTTGAAACCTTCATGGTAGTAGATGGCACTGTCAGGAAGCTTGCATTCATTTCAATAGTTTTCAGCAAAGGAAACTGCAGCTCCCTTTGTCATATACATTAGCACAAATGAGATCTTGAGCACATCTGTGTTGTAAACATGAGAGTTCAGGTTAAGATAACCTTCCACTTGAGTAAGCCAAGTCTGAAGCCCTTTGTGGCTTCCATCAAACTCTCCTGGTCTCCCAACATTAAACTCCCTTCCTCCATTAGGAGAGCAATAACCCCAGTATTTGTCTGCTTCCTGTTTGGCATCCTTGCCCTTACTGTTCCCACCAAGGGGGAACTCTGGGGGTACAATCTTTCCAAAGTTAGCAGCATACCAATTGTGCAGAGCTTTGTCAGTGGGCAGACCATGAGGAAATTCATTCCATCTGTGGGTTGTGGGGCCATTTGCTGCACTGATGGTTATGATATGCTCGACATTACACCTACTCTCCATGTCAGGACAGATATTGGTCAGTTGGCATCGCTTACTTGTACTTGGGGCTTTGACTTGAGACTCCCCTTTGTTGATAGTGCTCATGCACTCATTGGACAAGTTTGAGTTTTCATTTAGTTGCACAGACTTGGATATGGTCATGGTTGGCTCTGGCAAATCTCTGACAACAGGAGGTGGATGCAAAGAGGATCTACAGGCAGTGTTAGCAAGGATACATGCATGTGAGGTTACTTACAGGGGGTTCTTAATCAGCTGTGCAGCCATGCTTATACCAGTGTTGTCCTCCTGCTCAACTGTGTTCAGTGTTGGAACAACTGGGATGACAGGCATGCCTGAAAACAAAAAATTAGTTTATGATGTATCCCATAATATCATCTCACCTGGTGTGCAAGCACAGTCAGGTCGCATATGAGCATCACAGTCTTGATCATTTTGCAAAAGTAATGGGCTAGATGCAGAGAGAGACTCTGAGAACAATATCAACACCCCAGGAGCATTGTTCATGTTGGATATGCTCAGCCCAATGGAGTTGCTAGAAGCCAAATCAACTGAACTACTTGACATGTCAGCACTGTCAGCTTGCAGGCCATCATCATTGCTGTTGTCTGGGGCCATGAATACACCAATCTTTGTGTGCTTAATGTTCCCAACTCCAGTCAGTGAGTCTGCATCTTTGACTACCTTGCTCTTTGTCTTGTGCTTGGTAGCACTGTTGGTTTTTTCATCTGTCCTATTCATGAACCAGGTTTGTTTGAAAGACAAGTAATGCTTCTTAGCAAGGAGGTCACTCTTCCACAAGTCTTCACAAAAGTTTAGCTCTGGAAATGCCTGAACAAGCTCACCACAGAATGCCTTCTTGACTTGCAGTGACATCAATGTCCAGGTAGTCTGGGCATCAATGAGTCTGTGAGTACAGAACTCATGCCAAATACTCTGCATGGTCTGCAGAACATTGGTAATTTTCTTGCTCACAAGTTCTTGTCCATTTGCATCCTCAATAAATGCCATAGCAGAGGACACTTGTCCTTGTGCTGTCATACAAAAAGCCTTCCAATCCTTCTCAAACCAGTATTGCACTTTGGGATAGTCAGCTCAGTTGAGCTGAAGGACTGGAGGTATGTTTAGGAATGGCATTGTAGTGATTGGCAGTGATTTCAGTGAGATGTTGAGAAATCCATCTGATAAAGCACTCTGGCCTGGCTGGTTTAATGTTAGCCTCAAAACAAGGGTATTGTATGCATTCCTACAACAGAGATAACAATGTCAGTAATCTTTGCTTGGCAATCAACTTACTGCATGGCAGTGCATTCTGCCTCTGATGTGGTATTCTCTTGCTGAAGTCTATTGATCATATCTTGCAGAACCTGTGCCTATGCCACATATATGTGAGGAAATCAGTAGACACACATGCACTCACATTTGGTATCATTTCTGGGAAAGCTTGGCTATGGGATAATGTGTGGCTGGGCTGCATTATCAAAGAGGGAGTGTCAGTGAAGAAGCAGCTGGATCTGCCACATTACTAGCCATCTGCAAGTTGTTGGCCCATGACAAGGTGTTGTTAGGGGTCAAAAAAGATGCAGGACTCTGCACACTGTTGCAACCAAAAAAAGTTATTAGGACCACTTGTACTGCAATTATATAGCTCTGGCAGAGAATTAGACATAAAAAGGGGGGATGCCTGGCTATCTGAAAGGCTGGATGTCAACATCATGGACAGTGGAGGGAACACCCATGTTTATCATTATTTGTCACTTGATGGCATGATTTCTCCCTAAGTCCAAATCCTGCACTCACTGCGGAAACGAGATTTTAGCAGGGGGCATAACCGGATTCTCCAAATGTAGATAATCCGACCTTGATTTTTTTTTGTAAGATATAGCTATTAGTCTGAGTAAAGTCCGACTCCACGATTTTTGAGTAACATATCCAAATAATCCGACGTAGGCAAGATCTGAATATAGTCAATACACCAATAGCCTGACCTCTTGCACGTGCATTTCCCCACTCCGACTATGCTCGACTCCATCGGCCATAGTCCAACTATAATACCATCGGAAGAGTGGCTCTTGCCGCCCTTGCACCCCTCGGAAAAAATAATGGACTTTGCGAAAATTTTCCTTGGTCTCCAAGTTCACCGGTTCGCCATGTACACCATGAACCAACCCAAGGTATGTGGTACTCGAGTCCTCTGGCCTATGCACTCACCTCCAAAAGTTCCATATCGATGCTAACCAGGTGGTTCCAACCTCACAAGCCGACGAAACCGAGTTTGTTGGTCCCCCGACAGTCATCAAACGTAGGCCACACATCCTTCGACTTCATGTCCCAACCAGCGTCCAAAATGTTATGCTCTCTTTCGAGCCAAACTCCCAAGGCCCTGTGGTACGTGTGGCTAATTACTGTTCATGTGTCTTCCACTCACGGCCATACACCAGACCATAGAAATCTCCCTAACGACGATGTCACCAGAGCTTGGCAATGATACCTTTCGTGCAACTCAAGCGTGCATTGTCGACTTCAGTGCTAACGTTGGTACTGGTGGGGTTAAGTTGGAGTCTGCAGATGCCCATGTTTCAGCCATCTCAGTAAGTCATCGCATAATTCATTTCCTTGCTGATGGTATTACATAGGATCCTCTACTTGTCAATGTCGAGCCACTTCCTGCCATGCAAGGACCGTTCAGATGTATTCCAGACCATTTCCCACCTGCCAACAAAAGCCAGACAAACCCTGAGGGTGGTACTGCCCTGCCTATCGCCCCTCGTGTTCCTCTCATTGATGAGAGTGAAACTGAGCCCAAAAGTATGGAGGAGACCCCAACCATGGCTGTCAAGGTACATTGTGACTCATGAACCATTCTTTTCTCGATATTGACCTCTTTCTAGAAAACTACTTCAGAAATACCAGTCTCATCTCTTCCCACACAGGTTTCTGGCCCCTCCATTAGGCATACTTTTACCCCAGACAGTTTTGCTGGATCGGAGATGTTTGATACTGTGAGTACACAACTGTTGTGTGTAAGTAAACTTCATCATTTGTGTTGTCACGTACTCATCATTACTCAGGAAAGATGGGCCCAAATTTGAGAGGGACTTATCACTGGCCAGGAAAATAATAAAAGATGTCGCATGCCCATATTCTCTGAAGCTAGTACCCCCACCCCTCCCACTAAATGCTTTCGCAAGTAGTACTTGTCTTTTTTTGGAACTAATATAATGTTCACGTGATCATTAATGTCGTGCACGTCCTCCTGCTACCTCCTCAAGGCCTCACACTCTATTCACTAAGAACACGCCTCCGATGGGGTTCCGGCAATGCAACTGCAAATCTTTCAGGTGTAATGGAGCACTAGTGCCTGCACATACGGTCACCGCCCATACACGATATGACCTTCGTGCGAGGACGAAAGCATCCCAGATGTCACAGCTGCGTGTATCAGGGCATAGGGTCATCCGTTCGGTCATTAAAGACGCAGGGCCTGTCTCACGATTATTTCCATACCCTATATGCATGCCTGCTCCCCCCCTCTCACCTGATGTCTCTTTTGCTGACCCACCGCGTACTTCGACCTGCGCTGTAGAACAAGAGATGCTCGACCACGGTACTCTCAGTGGCGAGGACCTTGATATTCTGACCTTTGGCAGTGCACTACCGAATCTGGGACTGAACTTCCATAGCCCCGAGGCCTTGCTTTCCGCTGTGGACTACTTCCAAGAGTACAATGCAAGGACGTCTGCTGGCACTTGCCCTCTCACTTCATTTCATGCCCACCATCTCCCTCCTGACCCAGAACAGCGCGCCGTGGAACATCAGCTCCGACATATTGCAGAAGAACTTTGTGACGAGCAGAACAATAGTCGGAACAACACCCCGCCCCTCGATTATGATGATATGTCCTATGCTAATGGATCCTGGTCTTATGCTGATGAAACTGATCATGCCCACAATGCAGAGGTAGTAGATGGCCTCCCCCACCCCAGCGTCGATGAAGACGATCCCGATCCCTTCCTTATTGATGAAGAGGTGCGATCAGATAACCTAGACCTCGCTGACATCCCGGAGCACGTCACGGTCATACATGCTCTCGTATCATGGCTCCATCTCCAGTTCCATCTCCCATGCATTGCATGCAATGCACTATTGGCGATCCTCACTCTTCTACTATTCTTTCTCAACCCAACCACTACCTCCCCGTTCACAACACTCCAGTCCGGAAATCGCCTTCTCGGAGTCAATAGACCCATCCATACGTTACCGGTCTGTCCGAATTGTCGCAATGTATACCCTCTGGCCTCGTCACCACGTTGTCATGATACCTGCACATCCTGCCACGTTGAACTTTTTCTTCCAGGGCAGACTCTACGTGGCAACACTCGCATGCTGAAGACTCCAGTTATTAAGTACCCTTATCTCCCGCTGTCTGAGCAAATTGCGTCAATCCTCAAGATTCCTGGCATCGAGGCTACTCTCGACGAGTGGCGAGACAAACCATGAAAACCTGGCATGTATACAGACATATTCGATGGCAATATCTGCCGCACGAAGCTTAAAGGTCCCGATGGCAATCTGTTCTTTTCAAACCAGACGAATGAATGTGGTGGTCCAAATGGCGAGCTTCGCTTAGGTGTGAACTTGGGCGTGGACTGGTACACTCTTCCTGCTGACTTTATGATTTGACTGAACGTACTTCACGACAGGTTTTCATACATTCAGAGCAATATCGCGCCATCCCATTCATCGGCTCCAACATCGTTCTTGATCTGTAACCTGCCACCAGAATACAGGTAAGTTTTATGATATCCTTGCATCTTTCTTCTCACACAGCTTTGTCCTTCCTTGCAGGTATCGGACAGCAAATCTAATGTGCACGAGTATCATGCCTGGTCCAAAGGAGCAATCACCGGACCAGGTACAACAATTTCTTTGGCCTATCGTGTCTGATCTACTGCAGCTTTGGAAGCATGGTATCAAAGTTCCCACTGAATCGTGGCCTGAAGGTATGTCTAATATTATTTTATGTGAGTGTCTACTGACTTATCTTAGGACGGCTTGTCCGTGTTGCCCTTGTTGCGGTCGTATGCGACAAGCCTGCAGCGCACAAGATTGGAGGCTTCGCATCGCACTCTCATACTTATTTTTGTACAGAGTGCTGGATATCTGTGGCAGACAAGACGAATCCAAATGCGTTTCAGCAAGGAGGTATGTCTTTCCGTCTCTCGCACAGACAGTATACAATAACTTATTATCCATATCAGCTTTTCCGCCACGAACAGATGCTGAGCAGTGCCATTTAGGCAATCAGTATCACAACCTTGCGACGCCGAATGCACAGAAGACCTTCGTCAAAGAGTATGCAACACGATATTCGCAGCTATCCCGCCTACCATATTTCGACTTGGTCGCACAAATCGTCATAGATCCGATGCACAATCTCTTCCTGGGTGCATCATAATATCTACTTCGAGTCTGTATAAAACTGACATGTCTTCTATTCTCAGGATTAGTGAAGACACACTTTTACAATATCTGGGTTCAAAGCAAGATATTACGGCCGAATCATGAGCTCGCCACGCTACACAGCATGCTTGCAGATGTATGTGTGTCCTATTTTTCCCTTCCGAGAGCGACTTAACATTCAAAACATTACTAGTTTATCATCCCAGGCTCGTGTGGCAAACTGCTGACTGACATTGGGACCCCTGCCAGTGGATCTCTTATGGCCGATCAGTGGTTGCTTTTGGCAACCGTATATGGCCCGATCATCGTATGTTTCATCGACACTTGACATCAAGCTCACAACTTATACAGGCATAGGTACCTCAGATTTGGGACAGTTATCTACCGCGCCAGACGTCTGATGAAGCACCCTTTTGCCGCATCTCCACGATTGAGCAGGCCGAAACCAAGAAACAATGGGAAGCTTCCCAGAAGGCTAACAACAAGACGTCCCTCACAGAAGCCAAGAAATGCGGAAGGGAAGCTTTTGAAACCGAAAAGTCCCATAT